GTGGGAGCTGAGGCGCGCCAGGAGGTGCCCCCGCTCGGCGCGAGCTGTACCTCAGTGGGGGGCAGTGGCGCGGGCTGGAAGCCCTCAGCGCGGTAGTCCCAGTGCGTGATGGAGAGCGACTCCATGGAAGCAGGTGGCAGGTCTCCTCCAGCACCTCCTTCCTGCAGGAGAGCTCTGGAGGCACCAGCTGGGCAGGACCCCTGGCACCGCTCAGCTCCTGTGCCCTCGGACGTACATAGAGAGCCCCCCTACCACTGCTCACGCCTCACGAGTGAGGGCCTGCAGGCACGTGGACTTGCCTGTATTTCTGGTATAGCATGAACTCCAGCATGGCCTCCCACTGCCCTGCGGGGGACGCGGGCACCGTCAGTCCCCGGACCGCTCCCCCACGCTCACTGTCCCCATGGGGAGCGCTGCCTCACCGTGGGCCGGGAGCACAGTTCTCCAGGGCTGGTAGTAGGAGTCCTTCATGGTGATGCTGTTGGCCAGCCAGGAGGGGAGCTGGTGGGTGAGCAGCCTGCGGTGGCCATGCCAGTAGAAGTACCCCTTGCTGCCCAGCTCCGGCCTCGGCATGCAGTCCAGCTCATTCGTGGCTCTCTGGGAACACAGAATGGGGAGGGGCACGTGGTGACCACAGCCTTTGCCCCCCCCCCCAAACATGATGAGCCCCGTGCTGTGGGCATCACCACTTATACCCAAGTTCATGTCGACCCCCAGGCAGTGTCCATCAACACAACTACCACAGCACAGAGTCATGCCCATGCCATGTAGCCACCACCATGCTGCGGTGACAGCACTCTTGCTTTTGGGCCTCTGTGTACGGCCCCCAAGGCCCTGGTGTAGAGGTGCACCATCAGGCTGGATCTAGCACAGCACCAAAACCTTCGTCCCCCTCAGTCCTTAACAGAAATGTCCTAGAGCACCTTGCTGAGGGGCAGCCCTGGCTACTGGGGCATGGTCTGCCAAAGGGAGACTGCCCTTCCCATCAGCCCTGCTCACCAGCAAGGCTGGAAAAGAGACACCAGCAGCCTGGATAGGACCCTACCAAGGGCTGGACATCCTTGTGTAGCTACACAGACCCTGAGTAGGTGAAGGTGCCCAGTGTGTCTGGAAAGCAGCCCTGCACAGCTGTCCCGGCTGGCCTTACAGCTGGGCAAGCCCTGCTGTGGCACTAATGCAATCCGGCAGCCCCTCTGAGCCTCTTCCAGGGCAGCTGGCATGGCAAGAGGGCATCCCCATAGCCTTGTCACGGAGAGTCACTGCGTCTCATCGGTGCTGGCATGCCGCCAGAGCACACAGTGTGATGTGCCCACGGCCTTTGGGTGGCTGCCCTGGGATGCATCCAACGTCCTGCACACAGGGCGCCCCGCTGCCCCGGGGAACGCTCGGCCCTCTGCAGACGCGTCAAGCGGTGGCCTGCACTTGTGCTGCCAGTCCAGCGCCTACCAGCCACATGGCTCCACTCTGAATGAACATGGAGGGGGACAGCAGTGCCCCCTGCCCGGGCTCTCCCTCCGCAGGCACCCCAGGGCGTTGGGTGCTGCGTGAGCACCAGGCTCTCACGTGCTCAGACACTTGAGACTAAATCTGAGCTCTCCAGCTCTGCTCTGGCAGCAGCTCCATCACAAAGGGGCTGGGTTAAGGGAGGCGCGCCGCCTGCGCGCCGGCCCCGTCCGCTGCAAAGCGGATGCTGCCGGGCAGTGAGAACGCAGCGAGCAGCTGGTGAGGAGACTGGTAAGGCTGTCAACACGTTGGGTAAATATCCTGAGGGACAGGGCGCTCTGCATAACCTGGGACACTTCCTGGGCAGACGCTGAGTGCAAGGGGAATTAGCCTCTCCACATGGAGACCCCGGCCCCACTGCTGACCATCTCTTGGTGGAAAACCTGACAGATTTACAGCCACAGAAAGCTAGCAGTGAGAAGAGCTTCCTCAGCTGTGCAGGAAAAGGTTATTTGGACACAGCAGTTGGGCTCAGCAAAGGGATGAGGGATCCACCTCTTGAGGTCCCCTCAGCCCGACTCGCCTCACCGGCTCCCGAGCTGTGCGGGCTTTCCCAGCAGCAGCCTCAGCAGGGCCCTGCCCATGGCACAGACTCCTTCCTAGCTCTGCTGGAAACTGCCCAGCCTGACGCTTCCTTGCATCACCTCGATCCCTGCTGTCACTGTGGCATCCCCGGTTGTCAGCGCATCACCACTCCATGATCAACTGTAACACCTTCCTCTCTCCTAGGAAACAACGTGCGCCCAGATTACGGCACAAATTCCCACTATTGGTCCCTACGTGCGTGCTGGCGCCTTTGGCACTATTGAATTTCATCCCCTTTCCACTCCGTGGATGTCAAGGTCATGCTGGGAGCGCCGGCTCGGCCAAGGGCAGCTATTTACAGCGAGAGGGCTCAGGCAAGGGTGCTGACAGGCTGTGCCTGCTGCAGGCTCAGACCAAGGGTGCTCGTGACGGTGCTCCCAGGCCCTTCCCTCACCTCATCCACAGACACAGCATGGAGGACATCAACCCTGCTCCCGAAAGGCTGGCAGCCCTCGGGAAGCCAGGTCAGCGTGGGGATGATGGCGGCGGGGGGTTACCTCCTCCTGCCAGTTGTGGATGAGGCAGCTCCCCCGGGCGCCAGGCTGGCTCAGTGGCTCTGTGGGCACCTGTGCAGGCATGGGCAGCACCTGCTCCATGACACAGGGCTCTGCCCTCCCAGGGCAGGGCGGCCACTCCAGCCCAAGGGGCTCCGTCCTGGCCTCCTTGGGTGGCACCACTCCAGGTCCATCCGTGGGAGCTGCCAGGGCCAGCCTGGGGGTCCCAGCTGTGGCCAGAAGCATCTCCCCATCGCACAACAGCCTTTCCTTGGCTACTGTGGGCACAGGCCCTTCACTGGGGTGCAGGCCAGGCACGTGACCTGTGAGAGCTACCCTGTGGGTGGGGACAGGACATGGTCACTGCAGTGAGGCACTGGCAGCTGCCCTGCGGGGTCACCCTGCCGTGCTCCCACCCTGGTCCCCACTTGGCAGCACTGAGGGTCCTCCTGTGTCAGGGGACGGTGGGGCTCCTTTGCCTTTTGGAATGCAGCAGTCCCAAAAGACCAGTCCACTGCTGAGTCTCCGCTCCAGAAGGATCTTCCCCTCCATGGTCCCCTCCCCAGCCACCCCCAACCCTAGACCCCTCCCCTGCTGGACCCTGTCCCCCAAGGTCCCCTGGGCACGACCCTCCCACTCTGGCTCCCACGTCCTCTAATGACCCTAGGGCCCCATCCCCCAAGCGCCCACATGGCCCCACACCCCAAATGTTCCCATCCCCCAAATGCCCCCCATGGTCCTGCATTCCCTAAAGCCCCCTTGCACCCTGCATCCCAAGTGCCTCCATGTCCCTGTACCCCAAATGCCCCCCCACAAAGCCCTGCGCCCCAAAGGCCCCAGCTCGGGCCCCTCCCCCAAGTGCCCCAGGCCCCTTCCCATCCT